ATGATGACGACTGTGATAACGGTCATCGTGATGATGTTGGTTGTGATTATGACGGTGGTGATGATGCTGATGATGATGACGATGCTGATGATGATGCTAGTGTGGATGATCGGTGTCATAACGTTGGTGCTGATGTTGATGACGATTCCCACGATGATGGCGATTACTGCATTGAGGTGATCGTGCTTGTGGGAATGGTTGTGACATGTATGATGATGGTGATGATGGCGATCCTGGTGCTTCTGAGGGACTTAATGACTGTGAGGAGAAGGAGGATTTGGACGAGGAGCCTATGTCAGTCCCGCTCTTCTACTCTGGCCGTCACGTGGACCTGCGCCCTCAGGGGGCGCCCTCGGCGCGCTGCGCGAGGAGGGCGGGGCGCAAGTCGACGCCGCGGCGGAACAGCAGGCCCTCGGAGGGCGTCTGCACTCGTCGTCGTCGTCGCCGCCCGTCGGCCTCTGTCGTCGTCGTCGTCGTCGTCGCGTGGAACCCGGTGTACGGAACCCTCTGCGTGTGGAGCCCTGTTTGTCGGGAGCCCTATGTGGCGTGTGTGCGTGTGTATGCGTGAAACCTATGTGTGAAACATGTGTGTTGAATCCTGCGTGGACGTGTCTGGAGCACTGCGCTGTGCGGAAGCCCATGTGTGTGTACCTGTACGGGTGGAATACTATGCGTGTGTGTGTGTGTGTGTGTATCTGTACGTGTGGAATGCTGTAGGTGGAATTTCATAGGTGGACCCCCATGTGTGGAATTTTCCAGGTGGAACCAGTGTCCGTGTGTGTCTGTGTGTGAAACCGTACTGGTGGAGCCCGGTGGATCCTTGTGCGTGTGTGTGTGTGGAACCCATGGCGTGTGAGACCTTGTGTGCGTACGTAGTGGCAGCAACCGCCACACCCCTGTGACAGCAACGGCCGGAGTCTGGCCTGGTAATCCGCCCACTACGGCTGGATCCCCGTGGCGGCGACTGCCAGAAACGTGGGCTGTTCCTGACAGCACTAGCAGTCATGCCTCAGGTCAAGCACTGGTCAGGGAGCTCAGGGAGCTGCTTTTGTCGCTCCCCTGATCACCTTCGCCTTCGCACCCATCACTTCCACTAAGGGCTGCGTACACGCAGGATTGCGGAATATGCCTTTGGTGTGTGTCTTCTGCATTCGGATTCATCGTTAGTTCCGATTGGCGCATTCGCTTCTGCGCCTGCCAGATTCCTGCTCCTTCTTCCAGGTACTCTTTCGAGGACCACTCTCCTTCATCCCTCGACCACTTCCGGCATTGTACCCGCCGCTCCCGCGCATGTCTTCCCACCGGGATGCTGGAGCTGGTTTCTTCGCGCTGCTGCTTCCCGCTCGCCACGCCTCCTGTCGCTCCGAGTGGCGCGCTCGCCGTGGCGCCTGCCTCCTGCCCCCATGGGGGCCCCGCGCGCTTGCACCGCATAGCTTGCGCCACACAGCCTGCACAACACAGCTTGCGCAGCACAGCCTGCACCGCAGAGCTTGCAGCGCGCAGCTAACACCACCCAGCGCACGCCACGTCGCCTACATAAAGATAGTTCACACCAGCTCACGGCACACAGCTCCGTCACATAGCTCACGGCACACAGCTCCGTCACATAGCTCACTCCACATGGCTTGCACCACGCAGTTTTCACAAACTAGCTCGCGCTCTCATCTCACAGCTTGCCCAGCATACCTTGCATCACACACATATATCGCACTGACAGCCTGCACCCCGCAGCTCGTACTACAGCGAGAGGCCGCGGACGGCCACGGGAGGCCACGGCGCCCCACCAATGCTATATATATATATATATATATATATATATATATATATACACACACGGCATCGCATCCAGCAGTGTCCAGAACAGACACATCGAGCCCTCACGTACCGGCTGTTCAGGAGCATTCATGCCCCCGTGGACGCTGCCTCTCCCCTCCTCGGCTCCCTCTCCCTTTTTCTCCTTTTTCCCTCCTGCTCTCCCCCCACCCCTCGCCTTACCTTCCCCGTCATCCTCCTCATTCTCCTGCGCTTGCTTCCGCTCCTCATGCTCCTCCTGCTGTTGCACCTCCTCCTCCTCCTTCCCACTCACATGTAGCGGTCGCCGCTGTTTGGCCCGAGCGTTGACGCATGTCTTCTTATTGAATGATGAGCAAGCGCCCTGCAATATACATCTTATTGCCGCTATGCTTTCTCTCGCACAGCTTCCACCCCCCGCAGTTGTAGTTGGTAGCGGAGCTGGGAACGATCCCAGCTCGCGATCCGAGGAACGTGCGAAGAGTGCGGTGTGGACGCACAATTGCATTTATCTTCATCTCCGCATCGGTACCACCCTGTGTTCCTTGAGCAGCTTGTGCTTACGTTCTGCAAGCCAGCTGGCAATTCGCCTCGGACATCCGATCCGATTGCGCAGACAGCAGCAGAAGGCGTCACCGCGATGAGTAGCGAATCGGCCCACAGGAGCGCCACGACGTTCTTCGACCCATCGCAATCCCACAGGCACTGGCCAGAGCTTTGGGTCGGGCATGACTGCGAGGTTCCTTTCTGGGCTAGCACAGTTCCTCGGTACGTGTGCGATTGTGTTGGCTGTCCTTGTGAGCACATTCGTCGCGCCACCCGAGCGGAACATTGCAAGTCAATTTGCAAGTTTCACCGATTTCGGCTTCGACCAAGTTTGACGACGGCATCATAACGGCTGCCCCGCACTTCGACATGGCGCTCGTCACTGCGCAGGTCCGTGTCCCAAGGCGCTTGCGCAGACATCATCTAGGTGAGGTCTTATCGAGGAGGATCTTCATCTTGACGTTCTGGGGCAGCATTTTCGTGTTTTTCGTGGTCGTTGTGCTCTGACTCACGGGCATGATGCCTGGTGGAACCGGTCCACAGGGCGGCGGCGGCCGCGGTGCTATCACATCCCGCCAGACGCCCTCCCGGTCACCCGAGCGCGAGTCCGTGTATCCCTCCGCCCGTGGGTACAGGACTTGCTCGCTTGGAGCGTGCCAGCCACCGACATGGGCAGCGCTCAACAATGCGCTGCCGTCATCCTCAACCTCGGGCCGCTCGCGAGTTCAAGCGCTACATGAGCTTCGCGGAGATGACAGAGGGAGGCGTGGTCAACGGCCAACCAGAAGACGCCGTGACCTACCTTATCGCGAACCCCGCCACACAGTTCGGCCCACTAGGCGAGGAGTCGCGCCTCCCAGCAACCCGCGAACTCTTTGAGCTCTCGAGGCGACGCAGCGAAACCTCCGACACGCTGCTTTCGCGGCTTCTTATGCTGCGATTCCGAGTTTCGCGCAATGGCGGAGCTGCGATGTCGTGAGAAGGCTACGGCTGGCTGCTCCTCCGAGCCGTCGGTGTCGCAGTTGGCCAACTCATGGCGCTGCTTTTGCCATGCGGCGAGCGATTCCCAGCCACAGACCGAGTTCAACAGTTTAACGAATGTGCTAGGGCGTGTGGGTCAGATCGTGGAGCATGCACCGTATAGCATCGCCAGCGCTCTTCGTGCGCCGCCATCGTTCGGAGGATTCGTGGGTATAACAAATGACAACAGTAACGATGCACATGGCCCCTGGCGCACTCGTGGTCAGCCGGCGCCTCCGAGCTATCTGGGGCAGGAGGTGCCCCGACGTGCGCTGCCGGCCCGTCGCAGAGCGCCGCGCCGCCGCTGGCGGCGTGCCCTGCCGCCGCCTGGGCGCGCGTGCACGGGGCCGACTGCGACGGTGGGATTTCCTCTGGCGCGAGCTCGGGCCCGGGCGGAGAGGTCAACTGTCGAGCGCCCGAGCTCCGAGGTCTTAGCCCTTTCCAGGAGATGCCCAGCTGTCCTGGCACATGAAGACTGCTAAAGACACGTGCGTCGACGCGTGCGGCGCCCTGCGCGTGAGGTGCGTGCGTTCGTCGAGAAGAACAGCGGCGCCTTTCCCAGAACATGCAAATGGCAGAGGATAGGCTTTTCAGAAATACTCATGCCTCATGGAGCTCTCAGATGTCCAAGTCGATCAGTTTTTCTCTTCGGCGGACAAGGACATGGTGATGGCGGGCGCTCGTCGGGCAAAGGCGAATGCAGACGCCGCAATCCGCCGGGTTATGACGGGCTTGGCGCGTCGCATCTGCGGGGGCGCGCGCCGCTTCCGTGCTGAGTGCCCGCGAGGCCACGCGTCAGATTCTGGATTCATCCATAGACGGCGCCCTAGTCCCCAGCCCTCTTGTCAGGATCTCAGGCGTTGCCTTCGTGGTCGCTGAAGGCCCGCCGCAGCTGCGGCCGCGCTGCGGCGCTGCGCCAGCGCGGCCGCCCGTCGACGGCCCCTGGCAGATGCCGGGGTCATTTCGCGGGACGTGGTCGGCAGCCTCGCTCGCCGCAGTCCAGAGCCACGCGCGCGCCGACGCGCCAGTTGTCCCACCGCCGCCGCAGATGTCTAACGTTGAACGTTGCCGCCGTTCCCTGGCGCGACCGCCTCCGCCGCGGATTTGGCGGCAGCTGCCTGCGGAGCTCGTTCCTCCGACAACGCACCGCAACGGACTGCAGCTCCATGGGCCCCCCGCGGGATGAACCGTGTCGAGCGGCTGTGCAGCGCAGGTGCTGCCGTCCACCCACTGGGCCAGATCGCGGTTCCTGATGATCAGCGCATTGCCATTCCTCGTATCATAGGTTTCGGCTAATCCGCGCGGTTTCAGCTGGCGCGAGCTGCCCTGCTAGACAGACGACGCCGCGCGACCGGGCTCCTGAAGTCTCCATCCGGCTGTCCTCCGCGGCCGGATGGGAGGCCGACCGCGGCGCCCAGATGGGAGAATGGCGTGCTCACCGCCGCGAGCGCGCCCGATAGATGATCGACGTGGTCGCGGCCGGACTCGCGACCGCCGCCCCGCCGCCACTGCCGTCATATTCGCGCGCAGAATCAGGAGGAGTCGCTGGAGTTGAAGTCGACGCCGAAGAGATGTGCGGCATCTATTGGACCGCTGCGTCAGCCTGGATCTTGCCGTCATTCTTATGTGCGGCCGTCGCTGCCACCAAAGCAGTGCCGACGCCTGGGTCGCCGCTGGCTCCGCCGACGCCCAGGTGCGAGCCGTGGGAGATTCGCTCCGTGGCGACCAGGCCCGAGCGCCATTCTCGCAATGCCCAACGTGTAAGCGGCATCTGGTTGCGCGCGAGGTCTCGCACATCCATATCGCTAGCTCGCCCCGTGAAGCCCCCGATGACAGCGTGGCCTCCAGCGCTGACGGAGTCTCGATCGCACCGCGAGACGCGCCGACCAGCGAGGTCACCTTCGGAGCTCCTGCATCAACCTGGGGGGCAGCCGTCACCTCGAGGCTCGCCGCGAGGCGGTGAATCCAATGTGCCACCCGTGTGGCCAGCCAGTGGCCCAGCAAATTAGTGCGCTACTCAGGTGTATCGCAGTCGCGCGCGGTTCCCCCAG